GCTCCATCCATGGGAATGTGGCTCGACGCTTCCAGGAGGCTGGTAATTGCCCTTTTGGCCTCTTCCTTCTTTCAAGCGTAAGGTTGCTGGCGCTGCGGACTCCAGTTTGGTTTTATCCCCTTCCCCCCGAATCGCGGTTCGGGATGGCAACTGTTCATTAACTTGCAAACACTTTCCCCATTTTTTTATCTACACTGGAACATCCTTCCGTTCATAACTACGTCTCTTAAAAAGGCCTCCTGAAGTGTTTTGTGAAGACTTAAAGCTTGCACACAGCACACTAATCATTGGTTTTTGTTTTTGCAAAAAAAGATTGTTATAACTAATGAATGTGGCTTTTAAATGAGGGTTTCTTAACTCAATCCGTTTCTGATTCACAACAATCTTGATAGGTTTTCCAAGGTATGCAAAGTATTCAGGGACAGGTTTACCCTTAGGGCATGCATCCTGATAAGGTTCCTAGGGCTGAGTAGGGCTATGAACACAGATCACCACAATCTTAGTCCATCACTATCAGCTACAGCATAATTGCTCTTCTTGACAAGTATACAGAACAAATATTACTCAAGTCCTGCCCTAAAAATGTTTATCATTATTCTTGCAATATTTTCTTCTTGAATTCAAAAATAAACTATTGTATGTTGGTTTAAAATGCTGCTTTTCCACTTTCAACCCGTCATACAGATTCCAGATTTAAAAGATATTCTCTGTGTTTGTACTGAATGCTGTTAAGAGGGTGTGCATGTGTGTTTCTTCGCTACAGACAACAGAGGGTTTCTCCATATTGGTGATCCAACCCTCTCAATCAGGAAGCAACTGAGGCATAGCACCACCCCATGTCACAAGTTAATCTGAGACATGCTTTGCCCTTCTGGAAGTGCTCAGAAGGGGTAACAATTGTAATTGGTGGTAGTTCAGCAATATCAGTCTTCAGCATACCAGACTGTACACAGAGGTCCTGCAAATTCTTGATGCTACATGAACTGCCAGTTCCCCCATTAGGCTATGCACTGGAGGGAGTAATTTATGAGAGTAAAACAAACAAACAAGCTAGCAAGCGATCAGCCTATTTTCAGAAGGAATCACTTTGCATTTGTCATGTTGAGTGTGTGAAACAAACACAGGCAACAATGCATGTTCCATTTTAAAATGGCTGTCTCCTGTGCAACATGAACAGAAAGCACACTCACAAGTGACACATCACAGAGTAAAAGGGCATTTCATGAGAGAAATCTGAGTGGGCTAATGATGAATCCCCATGTGGCTCTTCAGAGCGTATCTATGCTACAGTTACAGCCGTTCAATACCCCTTAACTGTCCTGGCCACTATCCACCTTCAGCCTGATGATACCCATTAATGTCTTTGTCCTTTTAAACATTATTCTGCTTTGGAATCTTAGACTAGAGGAGTCACTGTAATTAAATGAGAAGGTGTATGCATATTGCCTGTGCTTGCTTGTTTGAAGAACTGGGATGAGATATACAAATAGCAGCTTCCTCAGCTTTAAAGCCAGAACTCCAGAGCAACATGCATCTTTCCTAACTTATATCTAAGAAAGATTCATCTCCTGTTAACTTCTGGAACTCTAAGCAAGAAGTCTGATGTGGAAGTCTGATGAAGTGGCCATCCTGATCTATGAAGCTTACACATTTTATGATTTCTTAAGTGGCCTTTAAATGTATCACCTACTCCTTTATTTGTAATCTGTAATGATTACACAGTTCTCTTTTATTTCAATGTAATGAATTGTGTGTTTTGACACTTATATTTTCAGTACCTGTAATTTCAAGAAATAATACCAGAGACATGGTTGTGAGGAGGTCACATTGGGGCTGGATTCAAGTAACAGCATACATGTATACAGTAGGACCCCTGCATCTGCAAGGATTGGTTCCAAGCCCACGCACCCCAAATGCTGAAAAACATTGATAATTATGAATGCTGGTAAAAGGAAAAAAACCAAGAAAAAAGTATTTTCACAATATATTACCATAACTGTGGACTAGAGGGAGCCAGAGAACATGCAATGTATTCTTCAACAACAAGAATACATAGTACGGTCTCTGGCTCCCTCTATGGCCAGTTCTAGTAAATACATCATGAAAATATGTATTTCTAGGGTTTTTTTCTTTTAGTATTATTTAATATTATTTTCAGACTGTAGATAAGAGAAGACTATGTTTTCAAAAGGAGTATAGTATTACTTAGTCTGCTGTACTTTTGTACAAACTGTGTTTTTTTTTTTACTAGTTGTAGTCTAACCCCACTAGTGTGCAAATAATTGCACAAACTGCCATTTTACAGACTTGGCTTCAAACATATTTTCCATTCTGGATTCTGTCAGTAGTATCTTCCCCATCTCCTTTTGTTTGTGGTTTCCCCCATCCCCAACTCTTGAGTGAAGTTCTGTGGACGTGGAAAGCTAGCTCATCACTTCACAATTTTTACTTGGTTCTCATAGAGGTATTGTGTTACTGTCCTCGCTCTAGTGATGAAGCCGCCAGTAGACTGTGGGAACTCATGTCATACCTAAGGAATTGGTTTGTGGTGAGAAAAGAGACCATTTTTCCACCATCCCTTCTGGAAAATTTGCAAAGAAGGCTAAAGCTGTCAAGGAGTTTATGAGCTGCTGTGACATTGGAAAATTTTTGCCAAGTCAAACCTAATTTTAATGCATGTAGTACTTACTACTGTCTAATATAAGCTCAATTATTGTCCAGAGGGAGAAGCATGCACTGTTTTGTACCCAAGATTATGTCTGCAGTCCCATCCAGGAACCTTTGAGAACTCTGTATGCGAAGCCTCAAGACATAAGACAACTCCAAAGACCTCATTGCTTCTGCCTGGCTTCTATCTGTTTGCTTTTCGATATATACATGGGAGATTGGCTACATTTTTTTCCATCTCATTAAGCAGACAGAGACCAACATCAGCATGAAAATATCAAATGAATCCAGGCATCACATCAAACTATGCTTTGCACTTACTATAGAGTAAAATCTATACCATTATCTGACCCACCATTTCTTTGTACATTATATGGAATCCATGGTTGATAACTACATGTCTAAAGGCCCTATTGTGTGAATTGTGGCAACAGAGAAACACTTCAGCAACGATACAGGCAGGCAGGCTTAGTGCAAAAACAGGTAGGTGGGTGAATGGTAGAATAGCATTTTGTGTATGAGGGTGTTTAGGCACATGTTGCGGATTTATGGAAACCTGGGTGCAGCATATGCTGAAGACAATCAGAAGCAGCTTAGAGGCCAGCAGCACATGGCTACTGACTTTGGGTGATGTGTTGTGCACACTTGTCCAAGAGGGGAGCTAAAGGGGAAGAGAATTCACACAGAAGTGGATCTGTCACATGCCAAAAGAGCTTTCATGTCAAAAGAGTCCCCCCCATCTCTACACCAATAGGAATTACAACACTGGTGAAACTCTGATTTCCTTAATTTTCCTAGCTCATAAAGGTGTTTATATTGCAGATTCCAGTAGTATTGACATGGAAGACCTTTGTTATGACAAGGTGGTGTGATGCTATATACCCATGTTTCCTCTATTCCTAAACCTTTGTCCACAGTCTCCTATCTTTTTTGGGGGCTTTTATCAGCTGTCTTTAGCCTGAGTTGGTTCTTAGTTTTTGGATGAAATCCTGTGTAAACAGCTATGCTACATAAGACTGATGATATCATAAGCTGAGACAGTTTTTCACTAATAAAACATTTCTATCCCACCCCTGAAGGCCTCCATATAATCCATTTTGTTGTGGGAAGCCATTAATGGCAATGGGGTTAGGGTGGGGAGAGTCTTTAACTTCTAAAACAAGCGGCAGCCCAAAAAATCATCCTGGTAGGAATTTTCAGAAATTAAGGACTTGCCCCATTCCACAGCCCTCAGTGGCTTCCCTATGAGAAAAAAGGATTCCATGAGTGACTTGGGACCTTTGGGTTTGGGTGGGGGCAGAAAACATTTGTTTCCAACAAAAATCTCTATAGTTGGTGACATCATCAGTTGTTACACAGTATATCTTGTCGAACGGGATTTCAGCCTCTTGTTTTATAGCGCTGCTTCTCTTTTCATGCCCTCTGCATGAGCTGACAAACAGTTGTCTATGAAAGGCATGCATAAATCACATCTGCATCACAGCAAGGCCAGTATCTAGACTGTGCTTAGGTTAGGCCAATGCACAACTTTGGGCACCTTTGAGCTGAGAGCGTAAGGTGGTATCGCTTTGCTCATTAGTTTAATGATCTGAAGGCATTTCTGTTATCATTTTGCAGGTTAATAAGATATTTTCTTATCATAGTACTGATTAATTAATTGCTTGCTTCACATTTTGGCAGTTAAGAAGCAATGGGAGATGATGATGGGTAATTCTAGTTGGTATGCAGGTGCCAACAGCAGTGTATTAAGCTGGAGTTATATAAGGTCCCCAAAGTCTTTGTTCAGGGAGCTTCATGTGCAGATTGTTGGTGGTTTGCTGCTGCAAATCTTCTGGGAATCTCTCGCTGCTATTCTCCAGGGGCTTCCAACAAGCAGAGAGTGTAGGGCATATTTCTTGTATTTTGCTTCTGTTTCATTGTGCCTTCCTGTATCATTGATAGTCCTCACAGTTTATAACATTGCTTTACACTGTATTACTGCTGTCATTGTTTTATCTTTTGATAATTCAGTCTGTGTGATTTTTCTGCAGTGGTTTTTTCTATTTTGTACTCTCTTAAATAAAGCTTTGAAACCTTTTCTCACTGATGTGCTTACTGCTTTTCAAATCCAAAATACTGTACTGCCATCCAGGCAGTTCAGTTCCCAAGACGTTTTG